TAATAATAATAATAATAATAATAATAATAATAATAATAATAATAATAATAATAATGATGATGATGATGATGATGATGATGATGATGATGATGATGATGATGATGATGATGATGATGATAAGAAGAAGAAGAAGAAGAAGAAGAAGAAGAAGAAAAAGAAGAAGAAGAAGAAGAAGAATGATAATGATAATGATAATGATAATGATAATGATAATGATAATGATAGGAAAGAATACTTCCTGATAGCCTGGGCAACTTCTGCCAGACAAAATTAGATGTTCTGGGCTAGATGGGCTAGTGGCCCTGCCAAGTATATGTCAACTTCCTGTGTTTTAAGACAAAGAACAAAGCTATTCAGCAACTTTGGGAAAGCCTATGGTCTGTTTTTTTTTAAAGTGTTTTATCCCTATTTTTCTGTTTTAAAGGATATTTAGGGTTTTTTTTTATTTTCTTCTGCTACTTTTAGCCCCTTTGAGTGCTATTCTGTGGAGGAAAGTGGCATAATAATGTTTAAACAGAGTCCTCATCATCCACTGCACTGTTGACTTCATTTCAAGGGTAGGCAGGTTTCCATTCCATAAAACAGTTTTCCAGCTACACTGGGAGAGACGGAAGAGAGAGAAGACAAAACTGTGGATAGGGTGCGATGGGCTGCCTTCACCATGGAAATGGGAAAGGAAGAGAGTTCAATTATAGAGCATGTGTTCTGTGGAAAAAAATATCCCAGGTACTATCTCCCATCATCCATCTCAGGTAAAAAGTGCTGAAAAGTCTTGAAAAGCCGCCTGTTGGTTGTAAGGAACACTTAACACAATAGAGCCAGAGCTACAGCCCATCATCTGCAACGGTGAGGGTGGGGCACTACAGACAGGGCCTTTTCTGTAGTAGCTCACCCTCCGGGGAAGGGGGCCTCAGAATAGCTCCTTCCTTAATTATAATATAAAAACAGGTAATGAGTATGCTATAGTGCATTGCTCTGTTGAGTTTTTAATGTTTTTTACTGTTGTTCTCTACTCATATTGTGATAAATGC